ATCAATTCCCAGATAATTTTAGATCCCAGATATTATGGGAATGACCAGATTAACAACAATCTCTGCGCAATCACAACACCCAATCGCGAGAATATCAAAATTACAGTTCAGATCAATTGTAATCTCTTTATTTTCGCTCTTTCCTTTGCACAAACCCTGTATATAAACCCCCTCAAATGATGAAAAATGGGTTAGAAATTTTCCATAGAACTCTCATTATAAGCTCTCACAGCGAATATAAGAATAGTGGATGGAGGCATAAGAGGTTACCTCGCCGAACCACTTTAAAAATTTTATTGTCTTTTACTTTATTGTAGTTATCATTCACCCATCGCTGATTATCCATAATCACACCCACATCTGTTCTGATTCCACCAAGGTCAATCAGATCTCTTTGGTCTGTGCGAATTTTCGTATCAACATACCTCAAACTAAATATTAATATGGCAATAGTTACTAGAATATAACAAATTTGAAGAATGCAATTTATAATGAAGAAAATTACGAATATGATATTTTATAGCATTAATAGAAAAAAAAAATTATGTAATGTGTTGTTGATGCCAAAATTCGCACCACACAAAATTTACAATCTTGTTCTGAGACCACGTTGACCTCCTCCTTTGCTTGAGAATGAAATGCTCGGCTATCACAATAGCAAAATAAAAGGATTCCTATGGCTAAGCAAGATTAGAAACAATATCGGAGGCCAAATAGGATGTGGTCAGCATCAATTTGGAATGCTCAAATGAGAGACTTTTTCAAATATGAATTAGTGTAATCATCCAATTCCTTTAGCCTTCTTTATATAACGAAGTAGAAAGAGTATTAGGGGGGTTGGTAGAGATCCAAGCTTTTGGCATCCTTAGTTTGGGTATTTGTAGAAGGTTGGAGGTATAAGAATGTGAGGAAATTTATTACTTGATAAACTTTCAACCGACTATTCGGATTTGAAACAACGCACTCTCCCTCAAATTGCGTATCTCATAAATTAAATATCAGCTTCCCATAAATGGAAATTTTATTGGCTTGACTACAACCATACCTACTACCTACCTCAATTTAATTGCCCTTCTAGAGCTTCCCTTTCACTTTACTATGTAGTAGCCGTTAGGTCTATTTATTAATGTTAGCCTTAAAACTTTATAACACTTATTACATAATTCATACTAATTTAAGTTAGATAATATAATTCAATTTACCATTAAATATTTTTGCAACACTAGTAGTATAGACTTTTGAATTTTTGGCAGTGTTCTAGACACATTCAAGATTTTAAATAATTTATTAGGAATAAGGCAGTGCTAAACATGTTAATTTAGAGAATATGTAGTTCTATTATATTCGCATTATTTTTTATAAGAATTTTGGGCATAAATAAATTATTAAAATTGAAAAAAATGTTTTTCAGCTTTAATTTTTTTTTATGTATTCTTAAGTCTAATTATATAAGTTTATCTTTTATATTGCTTTTTTTATTTCATTAAACTATTATCAATCTCTCTCTCTCTCTTTTAAAAAATAATATTTTAATTTGGTATAAAATCCGGTTAAGGGAGTTTAAATAAATCCATCTATATGTATTTATAATTTAGTTTTCATTTTCTTTCTTTATTATTTTTTATTTGTTATTCTACCTCAAACTAAATATTGATATGGAAATGGTTACTAGAATAAAACAAATTTGAAGAATTCATGCATTTTATACTAAAGAAAATTACGAATATGATATTTTATAGCATTAATAATAAAAAAAAAAAAAAATATGTAATGTGTTGTTGATGCCAAAATTCGCACCACACAAAATTTACAATCTTGTTCTAAGACCACGTTGACCTCCTACTTTGCTTGAGAATGAAATGCTCAGCTATCACAATAGCAAAATAAAAGGATTCCTATGACTAAGCAAGATTAGAAACAATATGGGAGGCCAAATATGTTAGGATTATTTTAGAATTAGGATAAGTATGTTAAGTCTTTTATTATTATCTTTTATAATTATATTATTATCTTATTAGGATAGAATTGGGATTATGTTATTATCCATTTATAATTAGAGTCCTTTTGGGAGTCAATAGAATCAAGTGTAAGGCTATATAGTAGCCTAAATCTAGATTGGGGGAATCAATAAAGAATTTTGTCAACTAATCTTTCTATCTCTTATTCTTGGAGGTCTTTGTTCCTCATATAAACAGATCCTATCCCAAACCCTATTATTGGTGCTCTCGTTCCCTAGTTATGGCTGAAGGCACTCGCTTGCGTTTTTTGGATGAGCAGCTTGCTAAAATTATGGCTCTACAATCTGCACAGGCAAAGACTCTCACTTCTTTAACAAAGAAATTGGAAGTTTTGACAGTTGGTTTTCAAGATGTTACTTTGCAGATTTCAACTCTAAACAACAAGTTTGATCAAACCTGCCAGCAAAACCAACAACAAAACCAACATTCCGGTGAATCATCTTCAGATTTGACTGGGCAAGGACGATCGACTTCTGGGAGTTTTTTTCCCAAGTCTTTCCGTTTAGAAGTCCCTCGTTTTGATGGCATCGAGTCACGTGGATGGAGGTTTAAAGATGAGCCATTCTTCGATTACCATAATATCTCTACTGAGCAATGATTGACGATCTCTTCCTTCCACATGGATGGGCCAGCTCTCTCCTGGTATCGCTGGATGCATTCCAATGGGCAGATCCATTCTTGGCATTCTTTTCTACAGGATTTAGATGTTCGTTTTGGGCCTTCGGAATTTGTGGATTACCAAGGGTAGTTGGCAAAACTTACTCAAACAGGTTCTGTAGTCGCTTATCAAACAAAATTTAAGGAACTCTCTAATCAAGTTTCTGGCCTTCCAGGTACGTTCCTTCTAAATTGCTTTGTATCAGGGCTCAAACTAGAAATCCGAAGGGAGGTGCAGTCCTTTCGACCTCACACCCTCAACCATGCCATGAGTCTTGCTCGCTTACAGGAGGACAAGCTTCAGGATCTACACCTATACTTGCATTCTGTCTACCCCGTATCTTGCGATCCTAGTAAATCAACTCCTAATGTTCCTTCAGTGCATCAGACCCTTTTGCCTACTCCAAACAAATTCGATTCCTTGCCTGTTAAACAACTCACAACAACACAGATACAAGAACGATGCAACAAAGGTTTGTGCTACAATTGCGATGAGCGCTTCACCCTGGGCATCGCTGCACGACTAAGTTCTTTCTCTTGCTGATGGAGGAGGATGATGATGAGCACGAGGATGAACCGGGATAACTGCTGTTGATGGTGTCGTACCTTGCAACCTTGAGGACAAGGTTGAGGCGAAGGGGAAGGCAAGGTTAGGATTATTTTAGAATTAGGATAAGTGTGTTAAGTATTTTATTATTATCTTTTATAATTATGTTAAGTCTTTTATAATTATATTATTATCTTATTAGGGTAGAATTAGAATTATCTTATTATCCATTTATAATTAAAGTCCTTTTGAGACTTATTATCCCTTTATAATTAGAGTCATTTTGCGAGTCAATAGAGTCAAGTGTAAGGCTATATAATAGCCTAAATCTAGATTGTGGGAATCAATAAAGAATTTTGTCAACTAATCTTTCTATCTCTTGTTCTTGGAGGTTTTTGTTCCTCATATAAACAGATCTTATCCCAAACCCTACCAAAATAGGATGTGGTCAGCATCAATTTGGAATGCTCAAATGAGAGACTTTTTCAAATATGAATTAGTGTAATCATCCAATTCCTTTAGCCTTCTTTCTATAACGAAGTAGAAAGAGTATTAGTTGGGTTGGTAGAGATCCAAGCTTTTGGCATCCTTAGTTTGAGTATTTGTAGAAGGTTGGAGGTATGAGAATGTGAGGAAATTTATTACTTGATAAACTTTCAACCTACTATTCGGATTTGAAACAACGCATTCTCTCTTAAATTGCGTATCTCATAAATTAAATATCAGCTTCCCAATAAATGGAAATTTTATTGGCTTGACTACAACCATACTTACTACCTACCTCAATTTAATTGCCCTTCTAGAGCTTCCCTTTCACTTTACTATGTAATAGCCGTTAGGTCTATTTATTAATGTTAGCCTTAAAACTTTATAACACTTATTACAAAGTTCATACTAATTTAAGTTAGATAATATAATTCAATTTACCATTAAATATTTTTGCAACACTAGTAGTATAGACTTTTGGATTTTTGGCAGTGTTCTAGACAAATTCAAGATTTTAAATAATTTATTAGGAATAAGGCAGTGCTAAACATGTTAATTTAGAGAATATGTAGTTCTATTATATTCGCATTATTTTTCATAAGAATTTTGGGCATAAATAAATTATTAAAATTGAAAAAAAAATCAATAATTAAATACCTAAAAAGGAACACTACTCCTATAATAAAACAAGATAATAAATCATAATAATAATAATGAAGGAACAAGGGCTACTTGGCAAAATCATACCCAAATAACTTAAACACAATATAAACTAGCCAGCTACTTCTAGTTTATATATGTCATGTCCTTTCTGTGGTTGGTAACTCTATCAAGTGAACTACACAACTCCACGTTACTTCAAGTGGGATCATCAAATTTCATTATGAGGGAAGAAAGTCTTTTTTTTTTAATTTAATTTAAGGTTTTATTTCTTCTCTCTTCGGTTTCATTTATAAAATTGCTCACGTGATTTCCTCTTTCTCAATTCTACTGGAGTTTTATTAGTAATATTAATCTCCTCGATTTGATAAAATAACAAATATCCCCCTAAAGTTTTGAAAATAACAATTTTTTATTATTATTAAGTTTTAAATATTAAAATAAACAGTAAAAATGCAATTTAGTAATATTTATTAACTCCTAATAATATAAATTTTACCAATTCATTAACAAAAAGGGGATTTTTGTTATTTCATAAACCCTTGGGGGTTTATGTTTAACTCTTTATTATATAACCCAAACCATACCTCATATTTGTATCCCACCAAATAGAAGAAAATTAGTCACTTAGAAAATGGAGTTACAAAGAGTCCAAGCAATTGCCTCATTATCTTTCTCAAAGGAAACTATTCCTGCTGAGTTCATTAGACCTGAGAAAGAGCAGCCTGCAATCACTACATATCATGGGCCAGTGCCTGAAATTCCCACCATTGATCTCAACGATCCCTGCGAAGAGAATCTCGTTCGTTTAATAGCCAAAGCTAGCCGGGAATGGGGGATTTTTCAGGTGGTGAACCATGGAATTCCTAGTGATGTTATAAGAAAATTACAGGCTGCAGGGAAAGAGTTCTTTGAGCTCCCACAGGAAGAAAAAGAAGTTTATGCAAAGCCACCGGGAGCTCAAACTGTTGAAGGCTATGGAAGCAAACTTCAAAAAGAAGTTGAAGGAAAGAAGGCTTGGGTGGATCATTTGTTCCATAAGATTTGGCCTCCTTCTTCTATCAACTACCAATATTGGCCTAAAAATCCTCCTTCTTACAGGTAATTTGGTAAACAAATATAAGTTAATTATCAACTTAATGTGGATTAAACGTAGATCTACTTACTTTTTTTTTTTTTAATTTATATTGGATTTACATTTGCGTAAGTGACATGTCTCATAAAAAACTGCTGTCCTTTGTCCACATCTTTAGGTAGACAAAAAATGTTTCCGCCAATTTTAATGTTAAATATATAAGTCTAATATTAAAATTGGTGATGATGCAGGGATGCTAACGAGGAGTACGCAAAATACATGAAAGAGGTGGTAGATAAGTTGTTCAAAACTCTTTCATTAGGGTTGGGTGTTGAAGGGCATGTGTTAAAAGAAGCATCTGGTGGTGAAGATATTGAATATATGCTTAAAATAAATTATTACCCACCATGTCCTCGTCCTGATCTCGCTCTTGGTGTTGTCCCTCACACTGATCTTTCCACCATCACCATTCTTGTTCCTAATGATGTCCCTGGACTCCAAGTCTTCAAGGATGACCGTTGGATCGACGCCAAATATATCCCCAATGCTCTTATTGTTCATATCGGTGATCAGATTGAGGTAATTCATTCATTAAACTCTTCCTAAGTTTGATACTAATTGGAACCAAAAAAAAAAAAAAAAAAAATTAATTTTATGTAATTTAATGAACTCAATTAATGTATCTTAAGGATTACGTTGGAGATTAATTAATTCAACTGTAGCATAGTTTGCAACTAATTAAAAGGGATTTCTGGACCCCTAAAGTTTAATCAAATAACAATATTTCCCCTAATCATAAATAACATAAATCACCCTGTTGTTAGTGTTCCATCAAAATTTATAACATTATGAATTAATGAATATTTACTTAATTACAACTCTTCCGTTTATTTTAACCCCAAAACTTAACAACATGAAGATTTTTATGGAGAGATATTTGTTATTTAATTATATCTAAAAGGGATTATTGTTATAAACTCCTAATTATAAGAAAACTAATGGTAAATTAAATTTAATAACTAAAGGATGTTATTGGTCAATCTCAATCCAAACAATAAGGCTACAGAGATAGCAACTTTTTGACTCTCAGAAAACAGGTGTGTTTCATTTTCTCATATGATATTGCTTGTTATGAAACGTATTCGCAAATAAAAAATACCCTAATTAGGGTTTTTTGATTATCTTATAATTTAAAAAGTGACCTCATAAAGAACAGTGAAATAAACCCCTCAGAAAATAGTAATTAGAGTGATTGAAAAGTTGAGGCAATTATTGATTTAATGAATAAGAGAATTGGAAATGGTGGGTGCAGATTCTCAGCAATGGAGTATACAAGGCAGTGCTACACAGAACAACAGTGAACAAGGAGAAGACAAGGATGTCATGGCCAGTATTTTTAGAGCCACCAGGGGAGTTTGTGGTTGGTCCACTTCCTCAACTTGTTGGAGAAGACAATCCACCTAAATACAAGGCCAAGATATTTAAGGACTATATTTATTGCAAACTTAATAAAATTCCCCAGTAGTTTCTTTATTCTTTTTTTTTTTTTTAATTAATTAAGTTCATCAATAAGCCACATATTTATTATGTGCCTAGTAGCTATGTCGTATGTTTTCTGATGTTTCTGGATTTGAATCTGATCATGCATCGTCTTATATTGTTGGAGTTGTTTATTTGTTTGTTTTTTTAATAAAACATAAAATTATATGTAAAAAAATAAATTATAAATCTTATAGTCTATCAAATTCTTTAAATAAAACACTACATTCCTTTATTCCTTATATTATATTGTAAAAAAGGTAAATTTTTCTAATATTATTACTTCGTGTCTCCTTCAAACTAAGAGAGAACTCCTTTTCTATTCTTGTGGTTTTAGTTTATTTGTTTAAGGACAATTGTTTTATATATTATTTTTTGTTTTTATCGTTTCCAAATACTATTCCTTTTATTTGTTAAACTAATAAAAGTTTTGTTGACTGTTAGTTACCTTTTAAATTTGTACTAAAATGATAAAAATGCCCTTTTTAGAAAATGATGAAAAATAACTTACACATATAGCACTAGACTAAACAAACACATTGCGCACTACAAACTAAAATTAAAATTAGAAAAGGAAAAAGCACATTAATTTTGAATTTCTAATGTATAATGCGTTTATTTATTTTAATTTGTAATATATAATGCCTTTTTCTAATTGTAATTTGTAATTATCCTCTACAAATTAAAACTCAAAAAAAAAACACATTGTACTCTACAAATTCAACATATTTAATTAATTTTTATTTTCTAATGCGTAACGCGTTTATTTATTTAATTTTGTAATGTATAAATGTGTAATTTTGTTATTATTATTATATATATATGTGTGTGTGTATAAAATTTTATTGGACATTTTTTATAAATGCATTCTTGTACCAATGTATAATAAAGTTCTAATAATTTCAAAAGATGAGCATTTTTTGCCATTTCAATTGAAATTTAAAAGGTAACTAACAGTCAAACAACCTTTTATCAAGTAAAGGATTAAAAGAGTAGTATGTTAAAACAAGAAGGACCAAAATTTTGAAAAACTGTCCTTTATTAAGTTGAAACCAAGGGATGAAAAAGGAATTATCTCTTCAACCAATAAAGATAAAGTTCAATTTCCTGTGAGCAATTTTCCTACAAATAGGGCTGTTTTTGAGTCGAGTCAACCGTGTTTTCGGCTAAAAGAGCTCGGCTTGAAAAAAGAGAAGATGAGTTTGAGTTCGAGTCTAGCGGAATGAGCCGCTGATTTCCTGGCTCAGCACAAACTCTTTAAAGGGAAGAGGGGATTCGAGCTTGGCTCATGAGCCGACTTAACAAGCCGAGTTTGAGCTGGCTCCGTAGCCAATAGCAAAACAGTGGCACAGGACTTTTGTTTCTTCTTTAACCAAAAAAATAAGGCGATAAAGTTCAAATATGCGTTTTGTATTTTTACCTTTTTCAGACCACAAAAATAAAAAAGCCAATACAAAAAAGTGGTTTAATTTCTTTGTATGAACAGAGAAGTGGGATTTTTTCTAAGAACCCAAAACCCAAGAAACTGAGATTTAACAAGATTATTCATAATCTTACTCTTACTCACTCCTCTCTCTTTCTCAAGATCTAAAGCCAAAAAAAAAAAAAAAAGGGTCTGAAAATAAGACACCATTCCCAGGAAACTCATTAAAGAAAAGAGATATAAGAAGGCAAAATAAAGCTTCTGCAGGGAAGTGGAGATAAATGAAATGGACCCATCATTAGATAGAGAGAGAAAGAAACCACACAGAGTAAAACAAAGAGAAAGAGAAATTGAAGGACACACTTACTCTTTGGTGCAGTGGCACCACATCTGTTGCAGGCTTTAGAGGGCCCATCTCTTCCCTCTCTTTGTCCTCCCCCACCACTCTACGATGAGAAGAACGATGGGCAGCCTGAAGGAAACGTCTTCTGTGGCAACACGTCGGCGAGATTCTGGAGGTGGTTACACGAAAACACATGGCAAAGGCATGGGTATACGACGACGAGACGTGATAACGGAGGTGGCGAAAACTTGGGTGAGAGACTGAGAGTTGTCGTTTTAGGTTTTTCGGGAAGAATCGGTCGAAGATCGAGTTTTTGTGAATTTTAAAATGGGGGGGGTTTGTTATTTTTGCAAATACTTGAGAATTGGTGTTCTCTTGAATCTGAGTGTATTTTTTTTATCTCTCTCTCTCTCTCCTCTCTCTCTCTCTCGCAGATCACTCCCCAAACCTCCCACTTTCTCGCCCATTAGCGACACAACCCGCAATCCCCGCACTGCCCCCCCCTCCCGCTCAGCGCTCCCCCAGCTCCTCGACCGAAACCCATCACCCTCCCCCACAACCGCTCTCCGTCCCATCCATCTCGCTCACTCTCTCTTCTCTCTCTCTCGCTATATATATATATATTATATATAGCTATATATATATATATATATATATATCATACATTTTATTTCATGCCTAAATAAAATATTTGTATTCTAGTTTTAAGTTTTAAATGAAAAAAGTTTGAAGCCAATAATTTCTAATATAATAAATTGATATACACTTTCATAGCATTGGAGAATTTTATGGAATTCCATTCAAGATAAGATGAATAAAAGCGGAAGAAGATAATGATGCTTTTGGAATAAATTTCTATTTAATAAATTACATTAAAAAGAGTTTTGATGGGGCTTAGATAACACTACTCATCTTCAAATTAAGGGATTTCAAATCTATTGAAAACTTCAACAAATAGTATAGGGCTCAATGAACCTACATAATTGGAGATTAGTTTTTCCAAAGAGTGGAGCTATTGACACTCCACTAATGGAAAAAAAGCTCCATTTCTTAAGACAGCTCAATTCAAAATCAAAGTTTTAAAATTAAATTTTGTTTTTGAGTAATACTACACTTACAAAGATTTACATACAAAATGATGTATTAAAAAATGAATGGAAAAGTGAATATAATGAATTTGACTTTTTATTTCACTTTTCCATCTATTTTTTGCCACCTCATTTTGTATGGAAATTTTTGTAAGATTTATTTGTAAGTATAGTATTATTATTTATTCTTGTAGGATCCCATAAATGCTTTTTAATTATATATATATTTTAAATGACTTAACATTTCATTCCCTTCACTTATGCTATATATCTCCCACCATCATTATTCCTATAAAAAATTCTAGATAACCAAATTCAAAGTTAAAAAAAAAATTATAAATAAAAAAAATCCTTACAAATAATTCTAAGAAGATAATAGAGTTAAACAACATAAAAAAAATATATATTAAAATAACTATCAATACTTTGTTAAAACATAATATTAAATTTTTATGTGACTACAAACAATCTCATATTTCAAATCGTATCCCTATTATTTATTCTTATAAAAAAATTAAGTTTTACGAGATAATAGTTGGGTGCCAAAATTACTTGTAAATAGTATGAAATTAAAGTTAATTATAATAATTTAATATAAAAATAAATTTATTATTATAAAATTTAATGAAAAGCGGGTTTCTTTTGTCCATGTCCATTAATATTTAATGGGGTAGCAATAGACTCACTCTTTTCTCAAAGCTCATAAATTTTTTTTTTCCAAAGCTGGGTGGACCCAAGCCGCTTCATGGGGCAACTTTGGTAAGTCATTATGCATTCAACAAGACTCACAGGTATTTTAGAATTAATAAATAAGTGAAAAGCCTATTTTATTATGGCTATGTTTGGTTCCCCAGATTTTTTTAGAATAGTATTTAAAAAAAAATTGGGTTATTTTAAAAAAAAAAAAAAAGAAGATAATTATTAATGTTTTGAAGTTGACTAAAGTAGAATTAAATTTTAAAAATATTGAAACACATGAATTTTTAGATTTTTAGGATAGGATAGTAGAATAGAATAGGATAACAATACTGAACCAAGAGGGGTCCCTTGTAATTTAAAACAGTATTCTAAACCTGGACTAGATCGGCCGGTCGGATCGGTCCAACTGGGTTTCGCCAATAACTGCGGTTCACTAAGGTGTAAAACCTGATATTTTTTCTTAAATTGCTCTTGACCGCTTTTGGACTGGTGTAATAGTGTTAGATCACCGGTCCAGCCCATCCGATCCAACGAATGTGAGTATTTTAAAACGCAAAATCCCGTGCTTTTTGCTTCAGCCTTCGTTTCATCGATCTTCATTTGCTTCTTCGTCTTTCTTCGTTTATCTTTGGCTTTCAATCAAACTTCATTCGTCTTCTCTTCCACCATAATTCATCTTCAGTTTGATTCGAGCTTCATTCCTCGACTTCCAGGTTTGTTCTTTGTCTTCTCTTCCATTTACTATGATCATTTCCTTCACTCATTTTGCCTTCATCTTTCGTCAATCATCACCAATTCACCGTTCCTCTTTGATCTCCATTCATCGTCGATCAATCATCACCACTACACTCCGTCCGCCACCAGCTGTTTTATTCTTTACGACTGCGTTCTTCATTTCTTCTTCCTTCTAATTTTTGATTCATTTTGGTTGGTTTTCTCAGTAATGATAGCGAAGGGATATGATTGTTTTATTCTGAAATTTGGTTTTTAGCTTTGATTGTGATTTGGGTTTGCATTTTAAGCGGTGAATCTACGGTGGATAATTGCCAGATTCTTCAACCTAGGGTGAACAAGTTTATAGTTCAGTGAGAAGAAAAGAGAATAAATATGGAAGAAGTAAAGAAGCAAGAAAAGAGGACGGGGAGAAAGAGAAAGAAAAAAGTAGACGAAGGAGAAGGTCTAAAGGAACAGAAGAAGAAAGAGAAAAGAAGGTGAGAAACGTATATATATATATATATAGAGAGAGAGAGAGAGAGAAAGAGAGAGAAGTCAAGAAACGAAAGAAATTGAAAGAGAAGAATCAGTGAGTAAGCTGATTCAGTTGAGCTTTCCATTAATTGAAGAGAGCTACAGTTTCTTCTCTTATATAAAGAAGAGTAAAACGACACCGCATGATAATTGTGCCTAATTACAACCTAATTACAAACGCTACCCTTTTCAACATTTGGTCAGCATGCCCCCTCAAACCAAGCCACATATATCCGTCAAATCTCCTGAAAAACTAAGCTTATTAAAGAGCAGTTCTGAACTGAACTTGAAAAGAAAAAAAAAAAAAAAAAAAAA